GGCAGCAGTACGGCACGGGTACCTACGAAGGAGAAGACGGCACGGTGCTTTTCTGGCGCTCTGCACACAGTCTCTGCCAGTAAAAAAAAGCTCACCAGTCCAAATGCGGCGACGGGACTTGCTTGCTTCACTCCAGTGTTAGTGTCGTTTGCATCTTCTCTCACCTCTCCTGAGATTCAACCTGATGTCCAGTGACAAATTGAACTCCTGTTCTGTTTGCCCGCTCTCTCTCCACAAATCTTTTGACAATTCCGGGCCCGTACAAAATACTACAATTTACCAACCCAACGAATTTCTCAATCGACTCGCCAACGTGCCGCTGCACCGCCTCCCCCGCAATCTCTCGCTCTTGGGCCTCGTGTTTCTGCTATTTTTTTGTGTGGCCTCGTGTCTCTTCACCCGCCCAAGTCAGCCCAAGCTCCTCATGCAAGCACTTTAGGCGCGCCTTGCAGGGCCATGAGGGAAAAATCGCTTGGTGCAACATTCGGCGGAGCTTACAGTACGAGCTCCGGGCTCTATCCGGGCTCACGGCTGGCTTCAACACTGTGCCGCATGCAGACACGGACGTTGGGCACCTCTTTTTCTGCGAATCTCTGTCTCGCCTTGTCCCTCGTTTGGCGAAGCCCTTTTGCTCTCCCTCGCCAAGCCCTCTAGACCTGCCTGGATCAACCCATTGCGATTGCTATCTGCCGAGAGTCAAGTCGTCATCTGCAAAGCATTGCGGGGGGGGCTGTCTTGAATCTGGTCTCACGGGAACGCCCTGACAACTGGAGCCATGCGAGAAAGAAAAAGAGGAGGCAGAAAGGCAATTTGACCAAGCTGCTAGTTTTGGTCCATTGAGGGAGCCTCTGTCTCTCTCGCCTCTTTTTTTTTTTTCTTCAGCAGCTGTTCTGTCTCAGTCACACACACCTGCACGATTTCTCACAGATTCTCTTGTCGCCCTCTCTCCGCCTCTCTCTCCACTCACACTACTTAATGCAAGTAGCACCAAGTTTAACAGCTTCAACCCATCTTTAGTGGCACGGGACCAAGAGGAACGGCTCGCCCTTGTTAGTTCAACTCCTCTTTCCATCGAGTTACAGCAAAGGGGAACAGATGGCGCTGTCGGAAGACCCAACGGTGCCAAGAGATGGCAGACCAGATGAAATTGGAAACGCTGCGTCAAATGACGATTCGATAGCTCCTCCGTTGATTCCAGCACAGTCTGATCCAGAGACAACTGCGATATTGCTCGTACAGTACAGTATAATGGACTTGTTACAGCTCTACGAGTACGCCATGCAGCCCAGCATCCCCCATGTCCGCTGCGAATGGGATCTGCTCTTTGTGCCCGAAAACGTGCGGAGCCCGGGCCAGATTCCGGCATGATGCGCCACTGACAGCTTCTTGTTCCTCCTCTACCTCTTTCGCTTCGTCTTGCCCGTGTATTCCGGCCGGCTTCTCGTACTGTATGATGATAACGACTTCGATGGTTCCCCAAGACCGAGATGTGCACGATGCCAGTAGCGTCATCGATGAAGTCTGTGCCTCCCTCTACATGGGAGTTGCGTGCCCTGCCCTGCCCTGGTATACAATAGTCATTCCGAGTAGACCGTGAGCCCTTGGAAGGAGTCAAGTCAAGGCCATTGCGATCTCGATCCCTCTTCTCCTTTCCATCATGAGGCATCCTTTCCAGCTGATCAATGATTTGGCTTACTGTCTGGGTTGCCCGTCGTAGAGGTCATGGTTGCGCAAGACGATCCCTGAGAGACATTACTTGTTTGCTTGTTCGTGGCTTGGGATGACAAGCACACTCGGAGCTGACAGAAGCCCGAAGGGAGGGAGGGCAGGTGTTTCTTTGAGTGCCAATAGCTGGCAACTATTGGCTCCGGCGATACCCATATCCGACGAGCTCGTGTTCAGATGTTCACGGTCAGCTCGGCGGTATTCTGCTCTGCTCTGCTCTGCTCTGCTAACTACCATCCTAGCCAACTTAGTACCGAGTCATTGGCATCAGCCCGCCATTGCCTGTCCAAGAGCCGTGCATCCGAACAAGAACAGCTTGCCATTCGGTGCCCCAAGGACCGGCCTCTACACAGCCGCCGCGAGCCAATCCAGGGGCCTATCTGATCGAGTCTCGTCGAAACTCGGCCTCATCTCCGCACTGAGGCCCCAATTGGCACATGTGAGCGTGAATTGCCTCACATCGTGAGGGGGCTCGACCAGACCCAGAGTCATTATCGATACCCGCCTCAGCCATGCTGGTGACGGTTGAAACGCGCCTCCACGCGTGTCTGACGCGCTTTGACACGCCCCATTAATGACGCAGCCTTGGGAACACTGGCCAATAATGCATCGCGGTTCAGTGGGCCGAGTGACCAGCCCCCCTGCAATGCATATTCCGCTTAAGAGCTTGCAGCCACAAGCATGTCAAGGGGACCCTTGGCAGAAACATGGCCGTACGAATGGAAGCCTCTCCATGGAACGAAATGTTGAGTTACTCACGATACAGTACGAGTACATTCCGAGTGATTGGACGGCTGGCAGATGGGTGAGCGATGTCGAGATCCCACGAGTATTCCCAATGGCTCATGCAATGGCATCTCCTAAGCATCTCGAGTGTGTTGCCCAACTTTTAATGAGAATCACATGCAAAGTTGCCTCTACACAGGCATTCATTGGGGCTTTGCAATTTGAACTTTCAACTGCAAACTGCAAAAAGATCGACCCATGATGGTCTCAGCTCTGTGGAGCTCGCAGGGGGGCCAAGCTGCATAGCCCGCACGTGTCATTGTGAAAAGCGCCGGGCCAGCCTTAGTCTTTGCTTCCAGGCAACGCATGACACTATCGTCACGGATGTCAATATAGCCCACATGTGTCTGCCAGGCACTCCCGTTTCACCATCTGTCCAATCGAGACGCTCCGGTGACGACACATGTGTTGATCGGCTCCGTCGACCAGATATCCGGGCTACTTCGAGCTTCGATATGTTCATCTCTAGCCTCGTCGCAGATTGAGTGCGAGGGTAAATGGAGGCTTTTGGCCAAAGAGTGACCAACTTGTTTGCATGCTTTGTGTCACCGAAAAAAAAAAAGGCCTCCCCCGCATGCGCCTTGACGGTTACACAGACGGATATGCATCAACTGACTGAGTCCAGAACCTATCAACTTTTTGGTGTAACCTCGGGGGGAAGCTCGATCCGTACCGAGGCCGTCACGGCGGACATGTTACGTGATACTTGGCGGGACGATGAGCCAACCAGCTGTTTGTATGCCAAAAAAAGAAAAAGAAAAAGCAACCCGCCTCGCAAATGCTCGCTCACTGTGAAATCTCATTCTCATCCCGCCAACCAAACGTTTACGCAGCGTGGCCAGTTGGTTCATCGTCCCCTGCCTTCGTGTTTCTTTTCGCCTCGGTGTCACTCCGTGTACTGCAGGATCCCATGTTACAAGATGTCCCCCTGAAATGCAATGCAAATATTACAGAAGATCCATACACATCTGCGGTCATCTTTCGAGGGCCAACCAAGATGCAAATATACATCCAATTCAGCCCGGGACAGGGTAGTAATGACTCTAAAACTTAGGGAGCAGCTATCCAGCACCCCCGTGTGCGTGGAGTTTGAACGTCGAATCCAGATGTGAAAGAAGGCCGTGTATCAGTGAATCTTATGCAAGAAGATTCGCCGTGTAACTTCTTTCTTTGGATGTTTCTTCGTAATTCTATAGTGTTCAGGGTATAATCAATACATGCCACAGCCATCCCCAATTACCCATCACTCCAATCCATCAAATCTCCATCTCAAAAGCAACCAAGGGGCCACGTAATCTACCAGAGCTACAAGCCATCAAAGCATCACCAAGCAAAAGACAAGAATCTCACTCTTCAGTTTTTCATTCTCTAAATAAAGACGCAGCATGCAAATGCCCATATTATCTGCTCCCACGCAGGATGCATTTTTTTTGTGCCGCTTAAACTTGCCAACTCCCTCTACACAGCAACGCGCGCGCGCAAAAGAAAAAACAGTGTGAAAAAGCAGAGCCAATATCCAACAACACACACTGAATGATGCAACTCCCATAACGCCACCGTGAGCAGTTGAAACACAAAAAAAAAGCCAAACAGAAAAAAAGAAAGGGGTTAAACAAGAGTCAAAGGAAAATAACACAGCGGCAGCGCAAACTCTGTCCAATTTCCATCCCTCTGCAATTTCTTCTCAAATATGCAAACAAGAACAAGAAAGGCATCCAAAAGAAGAACAAGAAGAAGAAAGTGCAGTGGTAGGCTCTCATTCCCCTTCGAAAACAAGACATTAATCCCAAAGGCGATGGGGAGACTGTCTCTCCCTCCTCTCCCCCTCTCCCCAGCCTCGCCTTGGTCGTATGTATATATGAATAAAATGATGAAAATAAAAAAGCATTCAGTCAACTTAACAATGCCTGCTGTATCAACCCTTTTGAAGAATTTTTTTGGTTTTTCTTTGTTTTCCCCTTCGCCAGGAAAATAATGTGATTTTTTGCGAGGGAATACAGTGTCCTCTAAGTCAAATCCGACCTTGTTTCCCACCCTTCCTGTTCCCTCTCTCCATGTGGTGCTCTAAAAGGCCCTGCATCAATAAAACAGAGAATTGCAGCATATGCTCTCAAAATTAGACATAGATCAAAACTTGGCATAAACGTCGTGAGGTCACGCCCGTGAATATCAAAGCTTCCAGGACAAAAATCGACGCGGTGATGCAGAGGATAAGTATAAAAAAAAGGCGGGAAAAAATGTTATCAAGGAGAGTTTTCGACGGGAGTCCATCTCTCAAAACATCCAAGGAGAAAAGTCGTCAGAAAGTTTCCAAAGCTCGCTCGTTCGTATTAATCATGCCGCGGCCGCCTAATCGTTGCTCTTTTTTTTTTTTGTTCGTGTTATGTCGTTCTTCCGCTTGAGTGTGATTTGAGTGCAAGGTAATCAATTTTCCTCCCTTCTTTTCGTTCTTCTTTCTTTCCCTTCGTTCTTGGCTTCTTCCCAGCTTCTCACATGACAACACAGTCCTTGTCGTCTTTGCCTCCTTTTGCTAATTTGCCATTTCTCGGGGCGCCAACTTCCATGGGAGTTCCCTGGCCGCTCACAGCTGCCTGGATGATGGACAACCGCTGCTTGGCCCTCTCATCACCTGCGTCTGCAGCCTTGACGTACCACACATTAGCTTCAAGAATGTCTCGTCTGCAGCCAATGCCCATCTCCGTAAAGTATCCAATGGCGTACTGAGCCTTGACGTAACCTAAACGATGAAGTAATGTAATTAGCGGTCATGGTTGACGAAAAAAAAAAGGTCAAGATGATGGAAGAACAAAGCTTTCAACTTACCCATATCGGCAGACCGGCGAGCCCACTCATAAGCCTCTTCCTCGTCCTTTTCTAGCATTGGCGGAGCACCAACCATGTACCAGGCACACAAGCCCATCATGGCGGGAGCGTGTCCACGTTCAGCAGCACCAGTATAAAAGTGAACGCTAAGCGCCGGGTCTCGCGGGCAGTTGAGATGGCCATGCTCATAAGCGTCACCCATGCGGAAGTTGGCCTCTGGGTGGCCCAGCTCTGCAGCCTGAGTGTACAGTTCGGCCGCATAGTTAAGGTCAAGAAAGATATCGTCGCCATAGCCCGTCTCGTACAAGCACCCCAGCTGGTAAGGGGCGGCGTTGTACTGCGCATCAGCAGACTCTGCGGCCAGCTTCAGCCACTTGATACCCTCACGATACCTCTTCTCACCCAAATCTCCTGAAAGACATGCCTTGCCAAGGCGGGTCATGGCTCCCGGGTGCCTCTTAGAAGCAGCCGTGCGTAGAAACTGAACCGCCTTGGCAGGGTCCTTTCGGCAGCCCCAGCCAAACTCATAAGAAAGAGCAGTTCGATACGCGGACTCGGCATGGCCGTGCTTGGCAGCAAGGACAAAGAGAGGGAACGCTTGGTTGTAGTCTTCTTTGCCTTTGTTAAAGAGCCCAGAGGCAAAGCCATCGGCCAAATAGTACTGCGCAAACGGATAACCTCCGCTGGCCAGGCGCTGCAAAATCTGCTTGGCCTCCCGGACCAGTTCAGTAGGGCTGGCCACGGTGGCCTCAACAATGGGGCTGTCCAGGTCGCGGAACGGCTGCGGGCTGTTCTTGCGGCCCTTGGGATCAGAAAAGTCCAGCCCCTGCTCTTGGGCCACGGAAATCAAGAAGACGGCGAAAGAGTACTGAACCGTAAAATCGTTGGTTTTCTTGACATTCTGGCGGTACATCTCGAGGGTCTTCTGTACACTGAGCAGCGAAGCATTGTTGCCCACGACAGTGCGAAGCCCCGAGTTGTCCATGGTGATGGGCGGGGGAGCCTGCTGGGGATAAGGAACATTGAGAAGCTCAGCGTATGATGAATTGCGGACGTCGGGCGACTTTCGCGACTGGACTGACGGAGCGCGCATATGCGAGCCACCAGGCATCAAAGCAGGCGACCGCCCTCGCTGCCCCTCCGAGAGCACAGAGTAGGCAGATTGGGGACGCGGCAGGGAGCTTCTGCTCATGTTGTTGGACGTGGGAGTCAGGTGGCGCTTGATATTGCCTGCGCTGTCCACCAATTCCGGGTTAGAGGGAGTGCGAATGCCATCGTTCGGAACACTTGATACGCGGGGTGGATATTCCTGTTTGCGGTACTGAAGCTGCTGCATCGACGTGCCTCGAGGCAAGTTACCCTCGATGATGGAGCTGCCGGGAGAGTCTTCGTCTGGGAGGTATTCCGGTCCCTCGTTTATACCCGATAATGAGCTTGCGCTCGTTGTTGCCGAAGATTTGAAAGAAACGGGTTCCTGGGAGGGGTTGGTTGTCTCATCAGACTCGCGGCTGTTTCTGTCCACGTCCTCCTTTCGCACAGGATCCCGAGGGCTCGTAGCAGTCGAATCCGTTCCATCAGCCGTGGCGGCAGGTGGGACAGGCGGAGGGGTGCGGTCAGGTATGGGTAGGCTGCTCTCAGCAGCAGCCGGGTTAGAGGCGTCATCCTGGGACGACTGTTGCTTCGAGGTTTCAAGGAACGGAAGCTGTAAGTCGAGAGCACCTGAGACGGGGCTGCTCAGCAGCCCCGTAAACGGTTCTTGCTCTTTTGGGGGAGTCACGACCTCTGGTCGCTGAGGCGCATCATTGAGATTCAAGTTGAAGCTCAGGTCAAGTGGCTGAGTCCAGCTATCATGAGCCGAGTGTGTCTGGCCAGGAGACGCCGGAGCTTCCTGCGGCGATGCTACCTCTGCAGAAACGACCGCAGGAGCCGCTGGCGGTACGGGCTTCCGCACGGTCCCTGCAACCGGCTTCCTCGGTGGCGATAGAGCCTGGGGTATGGAAACTGAGTCTCGTTGACTTGGCGAGCTGGGAGAAGTTGCAGTTGGGGGCGGCGAAGCGGTGGCTGCGGCCATGATGGCGGCGGAGAGGCCGGCACGGCGATGAGCTCGTCGTCTCCTTGGCCTCGGCGGGCGGTCAAGGGTAGAAGGAAAATAGAGAGTTCCGTGGTGATAAGATGCGTCAAGCCGTGGGAGAGGCAACCGCTAAATGATGCAGTTTAACTAGCGAATGGCGAAACGAATGCAAAGGCGCTGCGAGCGTTGCCGCTGCGATCTCCTCTCTTTCTCTGTTTTTGAACTTGGCCGTATGACGAAGCTGATATAATCGATATATTCCCTTCTCGCGGCGACAAGCGATTTGGCGATGCCGAACGCAGCTGTATTGCGCGCCAAGGTTCGCAACTGTGGTCGTTGATGCGACGTCTGGGCACAGCGGAGAAAGCGAGCGACTGATGGGCGTGCGACGGCGAAGACTGCACTGGGATGTGAGCAAGAGGCGCGCACAAAACTGCGAGGCAAAGGGATTCAGCGAGAGGACAGCGGTGATAATAATAATTGGCCCGGCAGCAGCAGCACGGAGGAAGCTGGAAATTCGCTGGCTGGGGGGGGTGGAGGAGGAGAGGCGACTGGAAGTTGGGGGAGAGGGCCGACGATATTCAGCGAGGAGGGAAAATTCCACAGCCCGAGACAGGCAAAGACAAGGTACGCTCTTGGTACCTACCAAATGAGTAAAGTGGAGGGAGCGCTACGGCTCAGCGAGGGTACAGGCACTAGCAGGTGCGGGAGACGCGCAGGTTACAGGTCACAGGCAGCCAGGCCGTCCAGGCAAAGTACCGCCAGGTATCGACTGTCCAGTATTTACGAGTTGAGCCCCAGCCCAGGTGCCTGTACGAGCAGCTGCAGTGGATGCAACCGCTGAGGTCCAGTCGGTACTCCGGGCGTGCAACTTGAGGTGATGTCTGGTCTGGTCCGGTGCAGTGGCAGGCCACACCTGTAGTACCAGACTATACCAAGTACCAGGTGAGGTAGTATTGATTGATATTGAATCAATAGATCGGCACGAAGGGATAGGTAGTAGGGCAACAGATGCCAAGCGGTGCAGTCACTGCCGTTGACCGAGCACTCGTTGAATGAATCAAATCAAATGCTTTCAATCGCTGTTGGCATTAGCATTTGATCCTTCTGTCAGCACCCATGGCATGTGGTGGCGTGAAATACAGTAGCGCCAGAAAGGGGGTAAGGTTGAGGTGATGGGCATGGAATACGGAGTGGGCAAGGTTCATACAACATGTGGAAGGGTTGAGAGCTCTTACAGGTACCTCAGCCCAGGCAAGGTACCGGCCAAACCTTCAAGGTTAGTTCCTGTCGGCCGAACGACTGATCAATCAAAGCAGCCTCAGCTAAATCTGGATTGAATTTGCCAGCGGGCGATTCGGTGGGCGGGCGTTGCTAGCGGGCTCGTGGACGCCTCCAGCAACGGTCCAGTCGTCGGGGGGTTATGGCTGTTGAGTCGTCAAATTGAACGTGCCTATTTTGGGGGGACGGGATTTAATCTTGTTTTTTAAGCCAGGCACAAAACCTCCCGAAACAGCGCCCACCAGCTCCAAGATGGAAAGGAACAAGGCGAGAAAATCTCGTCAATGCACGCCATTGACACAAGTTCAGCTCCAAGGCTTCCGTCGCGACTCTGGTTGGTGCTGCCGCTGCTATCCAGCAGAGCTGAAGGCTAGAGCAGTGGGGTTTCCTGAGCAGAGAGCCTCATCATCCCGCTAAGGGGAGGGGAGGGGAAACCGAAGCGCCGAGCTAGGAAGGACGAGCAAGACAAAGAGCCTCGTTCAAGTCCAAGGACAAACAAAGCGTGAAGCAGCTGAGTGCGATTGAGCCTTGGCTGGGCTCCGTCTCCGTGCCCTTGATACGTGGCCCCTCTCACAAGAGGGATCGAAATATCGGTTTTGCATATGTGCTCGAAACACCAAAGATCCTGCCGATGGCGTCGAGTGTCTAGCCTTGCTGTTTAGGCTTCGACTAACAACTAGCGATTCTCCATGCTCTAGCAACTGGCCTCTAGCTCTAGCTTCAACTTGCACATCAGCTCCGGGCCATAGCCCCAGCGCCAGACAAAGCTGTTGCGTCAATGCCAAGCCCAAGCTCCATATCTCGAGCCCACATCATCGGCCTTAGCACGATGAAGCAATCGGCGCCGCGAAGAGGGAAGAAGCTCGCAGATATCGAAGTCGTGAGTGATGCCGTCAATCAAGTCGCGGCTCTAGCGGATACGAGCGTATTGAAAGCGCAGTTGTGGGCATTCCAAGCACCAGAACCTATCGAGGCCCATACAAGCGCGGGCCCTGCGTCGGATCCCCGTACTTCGTACACAGCCTTTTCCTAACGCATGCACGTCTGACGAAACCAGACCCCGGACTCGCAACCTTCTCTTGCCGGCTGTCCTGTCATGCAACGTCCCAAGGCCAGCACACTGGGCTTGCATACCCCCCATATCGTACTTGTGCTCGTACAAAGTACAGAGTGCTCCGTAGCCGTAATACATGCAGTACCTTGGTAGGAAAGTACGGACGCAATGCAGTCAACCGCAAGTAAATTCCTCTTTGGTTCGGGAAGTCGGCTTTGCGCTGGATCTGACCAGCCACAAGGGTTGGGGCAACATGACAGCGTCCATCCATCCAGAACGCACAACGGCGGGTTGCCTGCACCCGAAAATGGAGTGCGGACTCCAGCAATCTCCAGACGCCGTATCCCGCCCTGTCCTAACACCAGACTTCTGGATGGTGCCAGCGGAGTCACTGGAAGTACATGGTTGCTTCGAGATGCTGCCAAGAGCCGTTTCCCAGTCATTACATCAGAAATATGCCCCCCTTTCCATGACATGGCATCGCATGGCATAGTGGTATCATGCCGCGTCGTATCCAGAGTTCGCTGGTCATCCGACACTACCAAACCTCGTACAGAGAATGCACTCGCCCACAGATCCGTATTACCTCCCTTTTACGGCCGAGATCTGCCGGTATACGGCAGCTGGCGCTCTGGAAGCCAATGCTGGCCTTGCCGCTTTGCTTCGTCTTTTGTCTGTTTTCACAAAGAACAAGATGGTTTTGCCCCCCATATTCCCACTTTTCCCCAATGGATCACCTTGGAGTCCCTGCATTTTGCTTTTCCTTTTCCTCTCTTGACCTTTGTCATTCTTTTTTTAGTTCTCGTTTCTGCTTCCACTCGTGTCAACTCGTGGCAGTGTGGAGATGGGACGAAATAGTATCGGAGACTGCTTCATCTGGAAAATCCTTGACGCCAAGTCCCTGCAGCCAATCATTGGCTACAGTTGCCTGAAGGGACCTCCAAGAGCGGGCAAGAAAGTTGAAGAATCATGACGGAACGCCGCCGAAAACGAGGCGAGGCTGCCACCCGCACTCTTGATTTGCCATTCGTGATCCCGTCAAGCCATAGTGAAAACGGCACGACTGGCTTCTTCCTTGTTGGCACCACTTGTTTGTTCGAATTTGGACGAAATGCCAACACGGTAGCCCTAAACAAGACACAATTCCCCTGGATAGATGGACTCCGGTCCCAAGCGCCATCTTGATAGTGCGCCTGTAAGTACGACTTGATCATTTGGCGCCAGCACTCAACGGCGCTACAGCATGTCAAATCCTGTCGAGATGTTTCTTTGGGGGTGCGCGCATCCGGCCCGCTTAACCAGCGCCTTGCATGCTCCAAGAGCATCTTACCAGCGTCCTCAACTCCCGAGCCAGCGCTTCACTCAATAGCCTCTTAGCCATTCCAGGTCCATGCCATTGCCTGTTCCTACGGCTTGTCAGTGAGCGGCAAAGGCGCATGGCTAGCCTTGGGACTCTTTCATGAAGCATCCATGTCAAGTCTCCGATCGTGAATCTGTTCTGGGCTGCTGTTGCAGTAGGGTTTTTACAGTTAGCCGGGGCATACGGTATGACGGCGGCAATCTCCTCAGGATTGGTGAAGAGTGTGAAATGACCCATGTCTGTTATGAATACGTCCAGCTGCCCCCTTCATGTGCATCTCTCATGCAGATAAACAACAAACAACTGGGCGCTCGCTGAACAATAGCCTCCTTTCTTTGGCTTTATTAGGATCCAAAGCACTCCGAGCATGTACTCGTACAAGCATGGAGCAATAGCAACCCGACTCCGTTGATACTATTGCCCAGTAGCACTTGTACTACAACGTAGTGTGGCCAGTGTTAAAATCAGTTGGAATGGGGGCCCATTTTGGATCCATACTGTAGTTGCCCAAGCTCCCTGCATGTCGACCCCGTGAGTGAAAGGTTTCTCTTCTTGGGGGCGATATGGGCGAGAATTGACTTTGAGACGGTGCACTTGCGAATACTGTGCAAGGGATCTCACCGTGGCAGCAGACTTGCCGAAGCCGACTTGCCCTGGGCTCAAGATACGGCGGAGTCCCCTTTTGCCATACCACCAAGTGGCCTCGTATTTAACAGGGCAAAAGTCTTGGCGTCCCCATCCCAGCACATCGGAATAAGAGCGCCCATCAATGGGTCGGTTTGTGGTCCCCACTGCTGCACATCACTCCGCCTGTATGTACAGACTTGTACTCGTCCGCAGCCCGCGCTTCAACGTCATATCTCGGGTTTGAGAGCGCGGCCGTTGGGAGAGCTCTGGTTCTCTGCGCTATCTATGCAGATGCCGGCTTATGGTGCGCCACTTTATACGACGGATCCTTGGTCTGCTAGTTGTGCCGGCGACAACTGGACGAGTAGAATGCGTGCCTGGCCTGGAAGAAGGACGAGAAAAGATAGACCAGGCTTGTCGCAAGTGAGTGCATTAGGACGCCGCTCGCCTTTTTGTCGGTTTCAATGCTAGTGATATAAATCTAGGCCTCGTCCGGATTAGCGCCGGGCAGTGCGCCAACTGTAACGCCGGTCAGGGTCCAGGTGTCGATGCAACATCCAGCCGTACCACTGCTTCTAGGTAGGGACAAGCACACGTGCAAGTAAGGAGCACGACATCGATCATAATTGGTGATGGTATGTGTCCTCAGGAAAGTCGAGCTCAAGCCCCGAGTCACTGACTTTGTACTCAGTTGCTCAACATATGTCGAGGTCGAGAGGCAGCAGTGGCGATCCAGATGCGAGAAATACGAAGTACGAGGCACGCTGGTCGAGTCTTGGTGATGTCGCTACCGTGGACTGAAGCTTGACTTTCGACCCGCCCGCCAAAAATGTATAAACGACATACATATTAACCAAGTGTTAAGGTTTCGAAACGTCACATGGTAATATCGGGGCCATGGGATGCTATGTCAACGACTGCTCCGATTATGGCGCGGTGAGACGGCCCAACTAAGGTAGCGCTTTTAGTCGTGAGATCTGGTGACTCGGCAATTTTCTCATCGGGTTTTCGGCTGTCTTACCCTGATGAACTAAGGCGCGAAGTCAGTTGTAGTGTTTCGTATTGAACAGGTCTGTGTCAAGTTCTGCAGTGTTGATTTGTCAATTGCGCGTGGTATGAGGTTGATCATGGATAGACAATAGATTTGAAATGTCAAATCTGGCCGTTGTTTTTTGCTTTTTTTTTCCGCAGCTCAGAGAAGCTACCTGGCTGGGGCTGAGTATCGGATACGCTAATAACGGCCAGCTCATGTACCTATGCAACGTTAGAATTGATTTGTTGGTCAGCTCTCCAGCAGCGGTGGGCTAACACTTAAGATGGGTGCTTGCTGGGTACTGGGCCCATATCGAGTGAATGATAGTGATGCGAAGATGTCGACGGGATTGGTAGAGAGATGGTGAGGAGAGAAAATCTAAGCGAGAGACGACGTTGTGTATCTTTAAGTATGATGTGGAGGCTGCGATGAATTGATGTATGCACTTCCCATGTACCTGCCATTCCACGAAGCATATTAGTACCTGCCTGTACTAAGCTTGGCAGGAACAATCCGACGGCAGCTCATGCAGTGGCGGCCGTGGCGTAACTCGCTTGATTTTAAGGTGAAGGGATTCTCAAGCCACTCAAAAACTGTCACCATAGATATACGAAACTCTGAAGAGATCGAGATCCGCATCCGCATACAGTAGATGGTAATCATGAAGCAGTAAAAAACATTGATGTCAATTTTCCTCTTCTTGGCAGCTCCCGGGTAGCAATAGATGGATGTATGAAACATTTCGTTTCTCCGCCGCTGACCACATGCGAGTAACGATGCTTTGCTCTACTCCGTAGTCTAACCCTAGACTTAAAAATGGTATTCAGACGGGGAAAAAAAGGATACATGTGGGGGGCGGGTGTCCAGATCATACTACCTAGGTACCTACTATGTCCCATTTATCATACTCGTAGCATAGCAGTGTTGCTTGTAGACGTCCATATTAATCATAGGTAATCAACAGATTAGGATCATCTTTAATTACGTTTGTGGAGCAATGCGCCCGTGCATGCGGTTGGAAACAGTAAGACTGAGAAGCAGATCAACAACAAAGAGCAAAAATCAAGAAAAAGACAGAGAGAACACACATCAGGAGCCAATAAGCAAAGCTCTGCTCCCTTCTCCGCAGAGGAGTGAGAGCCAGAGCGTTGACATCCAGGAACCGGGCAAGCGAGACTGGTTCGACCAGGTAGGAAGGTACCCTACGCCACGCCTGTACATGCCGTCTGGGGCAAAGCCAGGGCTCCAAGCCCGTACCCCTTGGCCATGCAGGACCTTCCGCAGCAGATGTCCACTCCACTGGTGCTAGCACCACAACGAATTAGCACCTGCGAGCAAGTCAAGCGCACATCGTATCCGCCCATCACTAACGCAATAGGCCATGCCATCTGGCTCGGCGCCTCTTAGCGGGCTAGTACCGCCTAAAGTGCTCCCCGAGTCGCCCCCCCGCGCCTGCTTTCGGGGCTGGTCCGCGACAAGAATAGCCACGGAGGGCGCCGTACAGCTCCAGGTCGCTTTTTCCTCCTCGCCTGGACGAACTTCCCCCCTAACCCAACCAGAATCTCTTCTGCGAGCGCTGGGGACGAGGCCGCGCTCATCGTCTCTCGTTCAGTTCCTGGGACTTCCATTCGTTCTCGCGGCGTGTCTTGTCTTGCGCGTCGCCTCTCGCAACCGGCACGACTTCGTCCATCGCGCCTGTTCCCATCGCGACCTGCGTCGTCCGTTGCAATTTTCGCTCTATCCGAAACGGTTCCGCTGGGCTCGTGTCGCTCGCTGCCACCGCCTCTACTTTCGCTTACCTCGCTGCTGAGCGCCTTATTCTTACCCTTGGGAACCATCGATCGTTTGCGTCTGCCTCGATCGATTTTCCCCTCTTGGCCCCGAGTCCGACTTTCATCGAATCCATCCATCTATTACTCGTCCTTCAACGGCCGGCACAAGCTCGTTGCGAGTGGGCCGTCGTGGTGGAAGCTGGATTTGATTTGATTAGCACCTGCTTAGGCACTACGGAGCACTGCGACCGCTAAGACAGCGCGCTCACTCGCTGGCCTTGGGTGGTTACAGCCTCCATATTTTCGCTTCCCCACCTGCGACGCCCTAGCGCAGTTTCTGTTTTGGGCAGGCTGAACAGACCACCGCCCGTCTCCCAAACAACCCGCCTCTCGCCAATTGGCTGCGCATTGTTTGTTTGCTGCGCTGACTTCGCACCGGGTGAGTAACTGTCCATGTTTATTTCCTTCCGTGGTCGCTTCACCTTCGTCACCCATTCTCTGCCCTCAAATAGCAAAACAGAAGAGTGACGGCTGGGCTTCTCCCTCTTCTTCTTTTGTTCCCTTTTTGTTCCCCTGGGCTTCGGCCACTGAATCATCGCCTGCAGCGCAAGGGCGGGCTTCTGCTTGTCTGTCCCTTTGGAATGCTGTCCCCAACGGCCACCCTGCCGCAGCAACCAGACGTTTGGTCACTGACATTCTTGATATAATAAGAGCCATGTCTCTGCCTGAGAGGCCCGGGGCTAGCCCCAGCTACGATCGCCGAACGAGCTATCGAAGTCCGCCGGCATCGCGACGCACGCGACCCATGGATGTCGAAACCGGCGCATACGAACCTTCAGTTGCCGGTCATCATCGTGGGAAATCCGTCTCCTCATACGCCGAAACTATTTCCAACTCTAATGTGAATACAGAGAGCATGCCTCTGTCCCCTACCGAGATGTCGGGCAGGACTCCTGACCCTGCCTTCACCCGCAAGAGAAGCCTCATCAGGCCGGAGAGGAACCGCATCGATAGAGACCACAGGAACTACCACTATCACCGCCATGCCGCCAACATGACCGTCCTGCCCTCGTCCACTGGAAATGACCCCCTGTTGGAGAATTTGGCCGGGTCGACGGAACGATCTGCCAATACCGAAAGTGTCACCGACGAGACTCCACGCCCGTCTCGTAGCCGAACCGCCAGCGGAGATCACGAAAAGAATGCCGCCACAACTCAACAGCGCCGCGTGTCGGGAAAGATCACAAAGGAAAAAAGCAAGCGATCTTCGAAACGCAAGGCCAAGCCGACCGAGGAACTGCGGCCGCCCAGCTTTTGGAATGTTTACTGCGCTATTGTGACCTTCTGGTGCCCTGATTTTATCCTCGGATGCTGCAAGCCGACAAGAGCCCAGCGTCGTGCATGGAGAGAAAAGATGGGATTGATTAGCATCATCCTGGCCATCATGGCCATTGTCGGTTTCTTGACGTTTGGCTTCACCGCTGCCGTTTGCAGTGCTCCTCCTGTGAGACTACGTGTGAACGAGGTCTCTGGCGGTTACATGATTTTCCACGGCGTAGCCTACAATCTGGCCAACTCTCACCACCCCCCGGCTGAGGGTATTCCTTTGAGGCAGGATGGCCTCGGCGCCAATGTCCTTTTCGACCTTCCACAGAAGCATTCCGGAGAAGACGGCAGCTTTCTTTTCCAAAATGTAAACGGCAACTGCAAGAACCTAATCACTGCTGCCGAAGGCTCTGATGTCCCAACTGATCCCGCCGGCGACCTGGCTTGGTATTTCCCGTGCACAACCTTCAACCAAGATGGGTCCTCGCAACCCAACCTGACTATTCCGTATTACCTTGGCTATGCCTGCCACACCTCGGTCAATGCCCGAAATGCCTTCTATGTCGACCTTCACGGCACGGCCGATGTGTACTTTACTTGGGATGACATTAAAAACAGCTCCCGCAACCTGATTGCTTATTCCGGCAGCGTCCTGGACCTCAACCTCCTCAATTGGTTCAACGAAAGCCAGGTCCAGATCCCTGATCGTTTCAAGGAGCTGCGAGACACGGATTCCGACGTCAACAAGGCGATTCGTGGTCGCGATGTGACGCGAATGTTCCAATCCTCGGCAGACAAGAAGTATATGCAGTGCTTCCAGGACATCATCAAGGTTGGCTCCATTGATACCGAGACTGTTGGCTGCATTGCTTCCAAGGTTGTGCTCTATTGCGCTCTGGTCTTGATTCTCTCCGTCGTCGGTGCCAGATTCGCCCTGGCTCTTGTTTTCCAATGGTTCATCAGCCGCAATTATGCCGCCGCCAAGACGTCTCAAAGCTCTGACCGGAGAAAGCGTAACCGCCAGATTGAAGACTGGTCTGAGGACATTTACCGCGCCCCTGTTAGGCTCCCCGGCGACGGCAGCACTGTTGTAACCTCGGATAGGAGCAAGCGAGCATCTTCATTCCTCCCCACTACTTCCCGATTCTCTGGTGTGTATGGGCCAGATCGAAGCTCCTCATCTCGCCGTGTTCCCACAACCATGGCCAGCCAAGGCGGCTCCAGCTCTCTGTATCCACCCTCTCCGATGTACAAGCAGGGCAATGACAGCCGCGCGAGTTTCCTTCGATCCGACCCGTTTGGCTCTGCGCCCATTTCCGAAGGCCCCGGCCCCGCTGGCTTTATTCACGAGGCCGTCGTACCCCAGCCTCCTTCAGACTGGATGCCCTTCGGATTCCCTCTCGCACATACCATGTGCCTGGTCACGGCCTACTCCGAGGGAGCTGAAGGTGTCCGAACCACCCTTGATTCTATTGCTACCACGGATTACCCCAACAGTCACAAGGTTATTGTCGTAATCTGTGATGGTATCATCAAGGGTGCGGGCGAGACTGTGTCTACCCCAGATGTCTGCTTGAGTATGATGAAGGATTTCTCTATTCCTCGCGATATGGTGAAGCCGTTCTCGTACGTTGCTGTAGCGAGTGGATCAAAACGACACAACATGGCCAAGGTATACTGCGGGTTCTACGACTATGGGTCCTCGTCCCGAATTCCAGCCGACAAGCAACAGCGCGTGCCCATGATTACCATTGTCAAGTGCGGAACTCCCGCTGAGGAAAAGGCATCCAAACCCGGTAACCGAGGCAAGCGTGACAGTCAAATCATCCTCATGTCGTTCCTTCAAAAGGTCATGTTCGACGAGCGAATGACGGAGCTTGAATACGAAATGTTTAATGGATTATGGAAAGTCACTGGCATCTCGCCCGATTACTACGAAATCATTCTCATGGTCGACGCCGATACAAAGGTTTTCCCAGACAGTCTCACCCACATGGTGTCTGCCATGGTCAAGGATCCGGATATCATGGGACTCTGTGGCGAGACAAAGATTGCCAACAAACGAGCTAGTTGGGTGTCAGCTATTCAGGTGTTTGAGTACTTCATCTCTCACCATCTCGCTAAATCGTTTGAGTCTGTCTTTGGTGGTGTCACCTGCTTGCCCGGATGTTTCTGCATGTACCGCATCAAAGCACCAAAGGGAGGACAAAACTACTGGGTGCCGATTCTGGCCAATCCTGACATTGTGGAGCACTATTCTGAAAACGTGGTTGAGACCCTTCACGAGAAGAACCTCTATCTTCTCGGCGAGGATCGTTACCTGACCACGCTCATGTTGCGAACTTTCCCCAAAAGAAAACAGGTCTTTGTTCCCCAGGCTGTCTGCAAGACCACGGTTCCAGATGAGTTTATGGTTCTGCTGTCCCAACGACGTCGCTGGATCAACTCGACCATTCACAATCTTATGGAATTGGTTCTTGTCCGCGATCTCTGTGGCACCTTTTGCTTCAGTATGCAGTTTGTCGTTTTCGTCGAGCTAATCGGTACTCTTGTGCTTCCGGCAGCCATCGCCTTCACCTTCTATGTTGGTAAGTTGTTGAACCCCGTGAAAAAAGGTTATCTCGCATTTAGATACCTCAGCCGCTGACTTATCGCTTTTACAGTTATTACGTCTATCATCCACCAGCCACCGCAGATCATCCCATTGGTGCTTCTGGGTCTCATTCTTGGTCTTCCCGGTGTTCTCATCATTGTCACCGCGCACTCGTGGTCCTATGTCGTCTGGATGTTCATCTACCTCTTGTCTCTCCCCGTCTGGAACTTTATCCTCCCAGCCTATGCTTTCTGGAAGTTTGATGACTTCTCGTGGGGTGAAACCCGCAAGACGGATGGCGATAAGGGCAAGGGAGGCCATGATGAGAGCAAGGGAGAGTTTGACAGCAGCAAGATTACGATGAAGAGATGGGCCGAATTCGAGCGCGACAAGCGTGTGAAGAGCGCTTATTGGGGATCGAGAGAAAACGTCGTTGGTGGCAACACCAATAGCTGGGCCATGCCTCCTCCTGGCCACCACAGCGAAGAGTACCTCTCTGACGCATGATTGAGCCATTATGACATATGATGACCTGAAAACTAATAATATCGGACCCCCCTTTCTATACTTTATCTTTATTTTTTGGAATAATGGAATACATATCGTCACATACGCATATTTTTATACAAACAACACAAGCTCACCTGCGCATATGACTCGGAGAGAGAGAGAGAGAGAGCTCGCCTATTGTACCACCATCCTTTGTTTCCCCCCTTGTTTTTCACTTGGCGAAAGAGATGACGGATGGGCTTTTAACGAAACGCGATTTGCTACATAGAGGAGGGACGTTAGCGTGATGAAGGGAAGAGGAGGAGAGATGTTTTCTTGGGCGTCGGATTTGTTTGTAATGAGGCAGGCGATTGATTGATTGAGTCTGATGGACTGAACTGATTGATGGATTGAATGGTCGATGAAGTTTTTTGCCGTACATAGCTTTTTTTGTTGATTTGAGCCCTAGTTCTGGGGGGAAAGATCTTTTTATGACGACGCCGGTTTATTTGTACCATGTCTCCCTTGTGCTCGCCAGAGCGATAATAATAAGCACGTTTTGTTGATGACTTGTTGCACAGGTGATTTCGGTAATTTCTAGTTTTTTCCTTGAAATTATTATCTATTAGGAGGATATTCAACATGAATTTCTTCTTTCTCTCCTTTCGTCTTTTTTGCCCTAGTGTCCAACCAAAACACTCAAAGTCTTTCATTCAATCATTCATTCGCACAAACCAATATCAACACGTATCAAACATGTGCAAACAGGGTATTATATCCCATTTCAAACAAAAAAGGAGAGAGAAAAAAAAAGCAGAAGCCATCTTCTACCGAACAATGAGCAGCCAGCCCTTGCCCTTCCCCAACGCCAGAATTCCCAAAAAAATCCTTCCATAGCCCAAAGTCCGTCGACGCCATTTCAACGCCGGCCTACCATCATAGCTGTCGATGCATATGTATTGGGGAGAGAGAGAGAGAGAGAGAGAGATAAGAAAAAGAGAATCAAGGCGAACAAGGCCTTCTGAATACTCGACATTTATTATTCATAGTGGCCTTGTCCTCTCTTGATGATTTAACCCAAAAACACAAAGCCTTGTTATAGCCCAGCTTATAGACCCCAATCGTCGCGGTATATTCATTTCTTTGAATTCTCCACCTCCTCGCCCAGCTCCCAAGGTTTGCATGGGTCGACGAATGTCGATATGCGCTGGTCGCCCCATCGAGCGCCAATGGTGACCCAGACGTGCTTTTGGGGAGCGGTTGCATGGACCGTCTCTCGGTATCCGGTCCATCTCAGACGTGATTCCCTCTCCATGGAGCTGTTGCCGAGACCACCGTTGGTAGCCCACTCCTTAACAACGTCTCTGATAAACTCGACCTTTCGGCGAAAGTCGTTCGCTGCCGGGATGCCTTGAATCTCCGGTTCGATCTCAGGCCGCCTCCTCGATGCCGTAGTCGCAGTTCGCGAAGATGATCTCGCCTGGAAGTTGAGCAAAGTCTGTAGGGGATACGACAGCGTGGCACGGTCGTCCAGCGCGGTGGCACCAATTGAGCCTGTACTGGCGAGCCTCTCTGCCGCCTCCTGAGGTAGATGCCAGAAGTGACACCAACTTCCTGTTGCGTCTAGGACAATCTTGGTATGATCAGGGAAGTTGAACTACGTAAAGGAGCCATTAGTATCTCATTCCATGCCGCAAGGGTTACAAATCTTCATCAGGAGTCTTCTTACCTGAAGGTGTCCGTCACCAAACACCCAGCAGCCAACATCTCCGAATCGCTGGTAGAAAGTTACTAGCTCTGCAGGCGTTCCCTTTTGCCCGGGAGACAAGGTGCTATCTGCCTCGTCCTCTTCGGCCAGAACGTCATCCCGGCCATAAGCAATCATATAATTGGCAAATTTCTTCCACAGGATGATTCTTTCTCGCTTTCGGTGTTGAAAGACGTCCTTGCCAGGAGCCATCTTGCCGGCTGTACCATCCTCGTTTATGGTCACTCGAAACTGGTCGGGAGAGATTGTAACCTGAGAAAGGCCAGCCTCGCCATTGTTCTCGAAGAACTTGATGGGCTCTGTCATTGGTACCGGCTGATGGCGGTCTATGTAGGAGTCATCTTGTCGTCGAATGATATGTTTCTCTGCGCTACGAATGAAGACACCTGCTGGAGGGAGTAAGGCGGTTTTGCTACCTTCAGTGGTAGGAATATCACGAAGGATGCATCCGACGCTGCCGTCGTTCAAAATGTAACCGAGACCAAATTTGTTCGTGTAATCAACCCACTTGACCACAATATGAGGATGTGGTGGCGGCGCGGTCTTTGAAGAGATGATGGCCATGGTACGGGCGTTGAGAGCTCGCTCAAGCTCCGTCTGGAGTTCGCGCAGTCGGTCGAGGATATCATCGGGCTTTGACCCTGGCATTTCCGTAGGCGACTCGGCGGGGCTAAACAAAGTGGCTGATCGAATGGATTCCGAGTTTCGTCTTTTGTGCAATGGTACATTTGCGGACGAGCCTTGCGCTGCCCTTTCATGTAAATTCGGTGCAGACCGAGCTGCTGAGAGCTGAGCTCTTGCTGATACGCGCATAGTTCTGGCAGTGGTAGCAGGCTCGGGGGCCTCTTTCGACGGAGGTGACGGCCTTCGAGTGGCGGAATCTGGTCGGTCTGGACGGGGTCGGATTTTGGTACTTTGTGAGGCAGTGAGGACCTCGGGAGCGGTTCGAGTCCTTGTAGAGGTAGAAGGGGCGAGAGGTCGGCCTTGAGATCGCTGTTGAGCCGCGAAACTCTGAGGGGGCTGCCGTAGAAGGCCTGTGGGAGGAGGCATCCTTTCTGAGCCGGCGATGGCATTTTCCTGTCCCTCCATGACCATTGAGCGTGCAGAGACGGATGCTGCATGCCTTGCGCGGATCTGCTGTTGCTCTCTGAGCCAGTCATCAAATGGTCGATAAACTACGCCGTCCGCGAGAGGGATGATGGGTGTCAGGCCTGCCTTTTCCTCGGCAGCCATCTCTTTCCAGATCTGAGTGTGTGAAGGCTTTTCTGAGCTCCAGGGTCCAACATTGCATTCCCGGCATTGCTCCTTGAGGTTACGGTGAGACTGGGCTAGCGTAGAGCTGCTCAGACGCGAGGCATAGTACTCATCCGGGTCAGGAGGCACTTCTCGCAGCTTGGAAGTGATCTCTACGGATGCTGGCATGTAGCCCGTAGTAAAAAACGGATGCTGGACAATGGCGTCGGGGTCAGGCCGCTGGTCTGCATCCTCAAGCATCGTGGCCACCAGGTCTTTAGCCTCCTGGCTAATGTATTTCTGGGATACCTCTGCACTTGGCCATTCGTAATCTCGCTCCCTGGCACGGCGATAGATTTCGTCTGTTGTCGAAGACTGGAAAGGCGGTTTCGAGGTGAACATGGCAAACCTGTCCGTCTTCATTAGTTTTTCTTTTGAAACCGTAATACAGACTTCCAATTGTCGGTTGATTCTTACATGATGATGCCCAAGCTCCAAATATCAACCATGTGGTCATGGCCTTTCTTTCCCTTCTCAAGGATCTCAGGAGCAATGTAATTCGGTGTGCCACATAGAGTGGTTCGTCGGATGGTTTGCATGTCCCTGCCAGTGACTACCAACGCAGCAAGGCCGAAGTCGCCAATCTTGGCATTCATCTGGTGATCCAGAAAGATGTTGCCCATTTTCAAATCTCGATGAATAATGCCCTTGCTGTGCATATACTTGATAGCGCCGGATATCTGAACGGCATAGAATCGGACCTCGGGCTCGGTGAGGCCCTTTCGACGCTTCACCATGTCCATGAGAGAGCCGTTGGGGCAAAGCTCGAGCGCCAGGAAAGTGCAGTTGACGTATGAGAATGCCCTGAAGAATTGAACAATGTTCCTGTGGCGCATCTTGGAATGGATTTGCAACTCGGTTTGAAACTGCCATGTGGTGAGCGGATTTGAACAGCCAATGCGAAAACCGCAACGGTACCAACCTTTTGCTCCATTTTGGAGGGCATTTGGCTCTTGACAATCTTGAGAGCGAACTTTTGCTTGCTTGGTAGCAGCTGGCCGCTGTAGCAGATCGCGAACCCTCCCTTTCCCAGCAATTTTCCAATGTGGTAGACGGCGCCATCTGGACGATCTGTGCTGCTCGGCTCGACGACCTCTGGCGGAGGAGGGGGCGGGTGTTCTTTGTCTTTGGCAGCCTTGAGCTGGGCGGCCGCTTTCGCCTTGGCGTCTGTGGTTTTGGGCATTCGCTGGGCGTTGACATCCCTAGGGGACAACGCCTCCACGTCGATGCCTCCCCTGGGAACTAGCCTGTGTGCCATGGCGACAGAGGCTCTGCTGGTGCGACGAGAGGGCCGGCCGATTTACGTAGCGATGAGGAATGGGCAAGCTGAGGGATTCAGCAGTTGCTCGAGAACGTGTCGTGAGGAGCCTAAGCAAAAAAATTCAACGCGATTAGAAGAGAGGTCCCTTTTTGCAAGAGAGCTGAGATGCAGGGGCAAAGGTGCGCGCCCAAAGCTCAACCAGGTGGGAGGCAAATGGACAAGAGAAAAAAACAAAATAGGGCGAGGCTCTCTGCTTGTGACATAAGCCGCATCGAAGCAGCCCGGCGATGCTAAAAAAGGTCGACTCACAGGATGCTTGGACACACGCAGCATGCAAAGGAGCAACGATGCAGCAAAGGCGTTTGTCGTGACCAGCTTCAAAGCATCCAGCCCGCAGCTGTGTCAACAAAAGGCATCAAGCAATGCTGGATGGCTGTCAGGCGGCTGCTCGGCCGGAGGATGGAGGTTATGATGCAGGAAAAGGTGAGCGCAAGCGTGACCAGTCGCAGCCCCAGAAGCCCTGGCAAGTTGACGTTGACCCCATATTGTGATTTGTGTACTTTGTGGGAGCTGGTTGCTGCTGGCAACAGCATGGCATCTTGCGGGTCTCACCGCCATTGCCGGATTGATAAGTGGCCGTAGCGAGGGATTTGGGCCATTGGGGGGGGGGGGGGCCCACAGCGGCCAGATTGGCTGCCGTTAGGGGCCTGGAGGCGTTGCGAGGGAGGGCTTAGCGGACGGTAGCGCCTGGCTCCCACTGAAGCTCTGCCCACTAAGCACCAGATAACGGGCGAGGAATGTAAGGTATGTACAAGCACATGCCTAGACAGCTGTCATGTCAACAACGAGTCGGCGCTGGCGAATCAGGCTGGCATTGAGATTGGTGTGGTTGGTGCCTCGACACATTCAGAGCATAGCCGTACTCTAGGCACCCAGTTTAGCGTTTTGCTCCAGTGTGAGCTGGCAGCAAATCAGTTCAAGCAAGGCTCAAGTTACATAGTTGGGCTGTATGCTCTCCCGAGGGCCAGCGCCGGTGGGCACCGGAATAATCGCGGGCTCCGGTGCGGACAAGACTCGAGGCAAATTCATGGCGATGGCCGGCTAGCTCTTCCCGCAAGGCCTCCATGAGAGGCACATGCTCAGCCCAAATATTTGAACCTCGCGCCTCGAACAGGATTGAAACTCGTGATGGAGTAATTGGCAGCGACGACGCCGCCCGAACTCATTGAACCGGACAGGGAACCCCGCAGACGGCATCGGCATCGGCCCCAGACCTCGCAATGGTGCCCCTCCCGTTGTTCAAGCTCGCCTCTCTTCTTGTGCGGCACGTCTCCAAGTATGGCGCGGTACGTATTGGACCCTGTGAAGCTTTTCGCTGCCGTCGTTTTGATGCTGATGCCATGCCGCTTCTAGAACCGTATCAAGGCCCAGGCCCATGACCACCCGCGATTCCGGGCGTTCGCAGCCAAGTACGGCCAGGCGATCCACCAGCTCAACATGAAGATGTCCGTCGCCCTCCTCAGAGACCCCGAAGCAGAGCGACGAGCAAAGGAGATTGCCGAAGCGCCTACAGTCAAGACGCAAGAGCAAGCCAAAAAAGACGAAGAGGCCAAGCAGAAGGCTAAGAAGAAGAACGAGCCCGAACCGGCAAACTATCCCAGGTTTACGCTCCAAAACGTGTGGAGGCGTAAATTCCGGCCATTGCCAGAAGCCAAGGCCGTCGACCTGTTTGCCGATGTTGCTGGCGACACGTTTATACTTACCGTGGCGGGAACATTGATTATATACGAGTACTGGAAATCGTCGCAAAAGCCCGATGCCAACAAGGAGCGGTTTGATGAGCTGAATAGAAGGTTCGAAGAGCTCCAGAAGAAGGAAGAGGAGCTCGCAGATGCCGAGGAGAAGCAGAGACAACGATTCGAATCTCTCGAGGAGGCTCTCAGGGCATTGAAGGATCCAAAGACGAAGCAGCCGCTGTTGCCGTCATTGCAAGTCAGCTCCTAAACAGCGTACGGCGACTGAACTCGGTCTTTTTGGGCCGCTCAACACTCCACTCAACGTCGCAAGCAATGTGATTTTATTCTTCAGTTTTTTACTTATACTGGACATAGAGCGTGTGGAATAAAGGTCGATGGATATGAAAAAGGATCAATGGGAAAGGAATTGGACATGAATGGCGTGGGGAAGGAGCGAAGAGGCTCATTCCCATGCCAGCTGTCATGGGGAGCATTAGTAGTCTATATCACAGTGGACATCTTTCATACATACAACGTGAATAGAACCCTGAAAAGAGAGGGAAACTAGAAATTACTTGAAGAGCAAGACAGCCGAATTGTCAACTTTGCTTGTCACTAGAGAACCAACGACGGCAATGTTTTGCTCATCTCTACGGCAGCGAAAGGATTGGGCAGCAGTGGTCCCAGCTCTTTCACGAACCACTGGCTCAGGTTGGAAAGGCGAGTCAAAAGCTATTGAAACAAGACCCTGATACCCAAAAGGCAGAAGCTGATGTCAATTGTTCGCCAGAGACAACTCTCGATGGATACGATGTTTCTTTCGCATTAGCACCGCAAGGCAAGCACCATCAGAGCTTCTTCAGGATCTTGCTGCTCTCATCTGAAGAGGCCAAAACGACAGCTGCCAAAGCCAAGATCGAACGGCTCTCCATGCTCGACGGCGGAAAGAATGTAGCTGTGATGCTGCTCCTAGACCAGAGCGGACGTGTGGACTCCTTGGTTGAATTGCAGATGAGGTGAGAGCTCACATCCATACCTGACCTTGCACCTACATGTACTCCGTAGGTAATGCAGGGCATCTGCCGCAAGCGCCCGTCCCTGACAGAAGAGCCCCCCAGCATCGTGACGCACGGCATGGCCTCCGTCCCCATAATCCCCATGTCGTCTGCAGCGGAACTAGTCGGACGCTTGGATGCCCTGCGCCGGCAATGTGCCCAAGCCCATACCGCCAGCGTTTCCCGTCGCAGTCGCAGCCGTGCCGATGCGGTGGCAGAGATACGCGGGCTCGCATCGCATTGCGTGCACGGCCAGGCTCTCCCTCGGGAACATGTGGACATCCTGACTGACGTTTCGGCGGGATTGGGGAGCTTGGCACAGCTCGTGTTTAGTGCAGACGGACAGAGGAAGATTTGCGACCTGCTCGGCGATGCGCAGGGCGGCAGGGTGATTTCATTCTTCACGCATGGGCACGAGGCCAATCGCCGTTTGGGCATCTGGGGACAGGCACAGCCATTCCAGGGCGAGAGAGACGAACGGGACCGGTAGAGCTTCGAGTTTTGCGGCGAATGGCAGGTTTCTTCTATCCGTCTATTTTTTTTAGAAGATCAATAAGCAGTTGATGAATGATGCCTACTACAGTACTTGTACGAGTGGATGCTTGAGCGGGGATACAGACACCCAGAATCAGCTGCCTGTCAATTATGTCTGCCCGGCCGTGTCATCCGGTCCGTCCTGCTCATTCACACCGTCAGTCCCGGGCTACATATCTCGTCACGGAGCTGTGATTGCTTGTCAGATTTCCATTGCCAATATCACGGCCATGATCCATGCGCTACGAGTACGAGCCCACGTGAAGAAGAAGAAATCTGATGAAAATGGGCCAGCAGGGCGGTCAATGTACGAGTAGGCACAGCTCTCTCAACTGTAACGGGGCAAATACCTAGTGCTGGTCAGTAGATGGTGATGGCGGCGGTGGTTGGCTGGGGGAACCGAGAGGGGAGCCAATCAGCGAGCGTGTAGAGCCGCCCTGAGGCTGAAGAGGGCAATTCCATGGTAATCCGGCGAGGGCGCCGGGGCCACGATTTTCGACGGTCTGTCTGGCTACGAGATGGTTTTTTCTTCTCTTTCTCTTGTCAAGCAAAAAAAGGCCGTTTAAGCGGTCTGTCATTCATCCGACGGAGGGCCCTCGGCTTGCTCTAGGCATGCTAATGTAGAGTGATTTGATGTGATGAGAAAAGGTGACGAACAAGTATAGATAGCGATAAGTGATGTATGGCCATCGAGTTGCTAATAATAATAGAGAAGCTGATTTTGGGCTGGTCCATCAAGTCCCGCCGAATAAACAACCAAGCATCAAGTCGATGGCAGAGATCGTTTCTACGAGGAGAAAAAAAAAGCTTATTTATCTTGATTCATGCGAAACAAGAAATCTAGAAAACATTAAAAAAAGGCGAACAAACACAATGTAGCATCCGCCTGCTCCCGCCAACGTGGCAAGCGGGACATGGAAAATGCAAGCACCAAAAAAATTGAAGGGGACGCTCAACCAACAGCAAAGATCTCAAAGGGCAACAAATGATGAGTGACGCCACAGAGAAACAAAAAGAGACGGACTGGTATCGCGACCCGCAAGTTTCTATTTCCAGGACCCCCCCGGGACGAAGGTATCATGCACAGGCACATGGGTGCAGTAGCTTGTAATCTTCCTTCTCTCGCTCTTTTTTTTGCGCGAAGACGGACAGGGGAGGGAAGAGTCGAGTCCCGCTGAGGAGGAGGCTTTTGCTGCCCTAGACGAAACAGGTCAAACGCGGCGTGCTTCACAATTGGGCCATGTGAGACTGCCATGGTCGCGCCTCTGTTCGAGGGGTCGAAAAAAGGGTCTTTTGTCTGTTTCCCGTTTTTCTTTTCTTTCTGCTACTGTATTGAAGAAATGACGGAAAAAAGAAGAGAGAGGGAGGGAGAGAGGAGCTACATCGTTAGTTCATGTACGGAGTAATGTTGATGGCATCCCAAATGCAAGGCATGCGGAGCAACAGGATGCCCGGATCGCAACTCCGAACTGCAAGGGAAAAAAACACACTTGACCCAACATGCCGACGTGCCTGTTCGCTCTCTCGCCAATGTGCGGCTGCAGCGGAGAGTGGCATCGCATTACATCGCGTCGCAGCAACCGGACTTGATTCGACACGCTCTACCGCAGGAATACTTGGTTGACATGCGCTGGAAACGGCAATCATCCCGCTCGGCCAGTGGTATCTCGCAAGTACTGCCCGTCCATCAAGCTCCAATGTCCAATGTCCAGACTACAGGCATGGGATTGAATTGAATTGAATTTGGTCTCATCGCAGGGGTCCAGTATAAGCCAGTGGACCATCCCCCCCCCCTGTTCCTCCAACGCACAGGAGCAGCGGCATGCGCGCTGATTGGCCCTGGGCCACTCTGTAACCGCCGACGATGCACCAATCGCCGCTGTTCTCCAGAGGCACAACACCAAAAGAAGCAGCACAGCAAGACAGACAAGAGGCCCTTTCGCACACGCCATTTGTGTGACGATGCATGCCTAGCAGTAGCTCGTCTGCAGTCCCACTGGCGCCCGCCGGCTTGGCTCTCTGTCGTCCGATCGGCTGAGACTGTCTGTACTGTACACGTATAGATGGAAATGGACGGGATATTTCACCCCCAGCGCTTACCGGTGCATTTACAGTACATGTACTCGACCTTTCCCGCATTTTCTCTTGCTCCCACTGCTTCAGAAAAAAATCTCGTCCTTTTTGATACCCCCCCCCTCCAGCGTTAATCCAGATTGCACGGCCTCCCTTTGCAGGCCCTTCTCTCTCTCTCTCTCTCTCTCTTTCTCCTCCCCTGCACGAGACCACGACCGCCCGACGACTTTCGTTTACTTTTGCTACTACGCCTAGTCCAGCAACTTGAAACTCCCGTCTAAATAACCTCCCCCCCTCTCACCCCCCCGGATCTGGCATTTTCGAGCTGCTGGCCATCTCGTGAACCCTCGTCGCCAAACAAACCTCAAACAAGCTCCTCGTTAGACATCTGCCTCAGGTCCATCTCCACCCCCCTTGGCTCGAAACGGATATCCATCTATCCGTATTCGACCTTGGCCACCCATCGCATCTCCCACCAAAAGTTCATGATCCAAGCTCGACAAGCATCGCCAGCACGGCCACTATTACCAAGCTGAGGCAGACCAGTCGATCCCTCGGCTGCCCATCTCGCTAGTTCCCGGGACCTGACACAAGGCCTCAAACCGTCCTATTTGCCCAATCGGCGCCAGACGCACAGGCACCAAAGAGAAACCAAACCAGGGTCAACCGGAGGACAGCCCAGCCGCTCTGGCGGGTTTTGCTTCCAATATAGACTCGAACCGCCCTGCCCTCTCCTGCTGTCTCGACTTGGTTCTTCCTTGGCCACTCTTTTTCGTTTTCCTTTGTGTCACCCAGCTGCGAGTCTGCTCGGTGTCCTTTTTCTTCTTCTTTTCACTTCTCTTTCTCTTGATACACAGGTCCGGTACCTGTTTTCATTTTTTAATCAAACTTTATTTTAACCTTTTTTCTTTCTTTTTTTTTTTCTTCGTCTTCGAGGAGTATTTCGGTAGATCCGATTTTGGCTGTGGTTTTATTGTTCAAGGGTCCAAGGGAAAAAAAAAGCAAAACAAAGGAAGAGAACATCTGGGAATTTCTCATAAACGCCTGAGACGAGAAAAAAAACAGTAACGGGAATACAAACAAGCATCCCGGATCACGACGACAATTTTTATTTTCTTCCATTCTCTAAACCGCAACCATGGGAAAGCTTATCAAGAACCACTGGGCCCGCCTCATCATGTTGACGGCCGCCACCTGTACGTGCTTCCTCTTACATACAAATACGAACATGCGCAATAACTAACACCTCGCCCGCCAGACCAAATCGGCGCCGCCATCGAGGGCTACATCTGGCCCAAGATCTTCTGGGACTTCCTCACACACTCGCTCGACGCCGCCGTCCGGCCCGCCCCCATCCTGCAGACCATCAACCTCGTCTTCGGCATCGCCATGCTCGCCCTGGAGTGGCCCCTCCCCCTCATCGCGGGAACCAGCATCCACCGATCCATCGAATTCCGCCTCGCCTTCCTCCCCCTCACCGCCCTCGCCTGCCTGCTCATGTATCAGGCGACAAACCCCGGCCTGTACTATCTCATCGGGATGGGTGCTTATTTCTGGGCTTACAGTGAAGGCGAAGTACGTTCTTGAATCCCCCCCTTCTCGTTAAATTAGTATCATGCTCAAAGAGACTAACATGGTCCCCCTTGTAGATCATTTGTGCAAAACCCTGGACTCTACCTCCGCGAAAAGGCAGCTCAGGCGGCAAAGTCTGAGAACAAGGACAAGAAAGGGGGTGGGAAATGGAGCAGTGAACGATTCGCATCTTGTTAGAGAGAGAGAAATACCAAGGGAAACACATTGGAATGCAAAGGAAGCAAGGCAGAGGAAAGGGAAAAGAAGGGACAAGTCAAGGATCAGCGTTGTATGTACAGTAATTATTTTTTCGGAATCCCGCGATGAAACCGCCAAATCGAACTTCTCTACAAGAGGCCTCACGAGAGCCATCTCATTCTCCGTCTCCGTCTCTATCCGTTTTCTTTTCTTTGCAATTTTCTTAAGTCAGTTGGCATTTGGTAGCGTATGCTGCAGTGTATGATTATTGTTGTTCACGTTGACGGGCTGTATTTCGTCATTCTTTCCTTGTCCTTTTTTATAGTCACGATTGTTTCTCATTTAACCTGATTTGAACATGCACGAGAGAGATGAACAGAGAGACGTTGGGGATTCAATGCTTGATTATTCCCTTGTAAAGAGATTCCTACTGTAATTACGTAAGAAGAGCGACATTGTGCAGGCGTGGCTCACAGCATGACCTCTGTCACGGAGCGCTGTAGCTGAAGCTTCCTCGTCGCTCAATCAGCTCATATTCCATATCCCTCGGACCACCATCTCGCTGCCATAATACCGCTAGAGAAAAAAAGAAAAAAGATGACAAGGCGGTAGGCATCGAGTGAGACGCACTCAAAAGAGCTCACTAAGTGCTGTGGTAGTTCGGCCTCGGCCTCATTAAAACCTCAGCCTCATTGAGCTCCTCGAGTTCTTTAAAACTCCTTATTTCACTCTCATCGAGCTCATAGACTCGTTTGTAACTCCTTGCCGACCAGGCATCTATTCAAGAACCACCACGATTAGTCTTCCGTCAGGAGCGGGATTAGATCTGGTGAGTGTAGTGGCTTACCTCCATAGTTTGCATAGTACCATTCTCAAGGATCCGCTCAATCGCCTCATCGGCATTCTCAGTGTCAAACTCGGCCGCTAGTGACATCTTTGACGCAGAGTCAAAGGTTCCCTGGGCACCTTGTCTGTAGACGAGTATCGTGTTAGCCGCCTGCGCATACCATTTCTTTTCTTTTCTTTTCTTTTTTTCTTCTTTGATTGGAGAGATGTAGCAAAAAAACATACCGATGTGTCTGAAACACCTGGAAAGTCGAGATGAAATGAGCTAGAGGAACGCTCTTGTCGCTCTGCCACTTCTTGTACGTGTCGACATCGTCCACGAAGACAAGGAAGTCTTCCTGCTTTCCCTTGTAGTGAATCTTGGACTGGGTGGATTCTCCTCGAGTCATCTTGGCGGTTGTTCGTGAAGACAGGGGTGTGTTTGTTAATTTAAAGCGGTTGGGGGAGGTCGCGTGACGTTGCGCTAGAGAGGTAGCTTGATAGAGTGTTTGTAGGAAGTTCTTGTTTGGAGTTGTATAAGATACGAAGAAGATGATGGAAAAATATCAGAAGAGAGTTGCTCTTATTCTTTTTTATCTAGAGGTCAATGTTTAATGAAGATGGAGAAGGAAGAATTCGAAACTGGGAAGAAGCTGCAGTCTTAAAGAAGTGCTGCGAAGAGGGGAGCTGCAACGGCCTACTACGTCATCGTGGCGTGCAGACTGTGTACGTCTGCGCACACCTGCAGTTGGTACCAAGGCTGCAGCTTCCCCGGCTCACCGTAGCTGATTCACTGCACGGGTACATGATGACCTCATCATTGCCTGTATCCGGCACTGACGACACACGCAATACGTAAGAGTTGCACTTTGTTTCAACCAGTTGTGGATCGTCTTAGCCGGCGATCCAGGAACAATTCAGCATTTCCATGGCAGCTCTTGACATTACATTCACCGTCTTCAGTCAAAGCTCGTCAATTGCTTGCTTCTGCCGCCTTCTACTTGCATCCTCGGTCCCACCTCCCACTCCTCTGGTCTGAAGCTGTGATATGGCCAAGGTCAGGTATGGATGCACGGGCACGGTCTCACAATCTCGCCTGCATACTTCGCCCTGCTAATGTGGCTCACGGCAGATGACACGCCAGCTGCTCTAGCTCCAGATTATCTCAAGGTACTGTCGCAAGTGCAAGTTGTAGCACCTTTGTTGTGGAATAGCGTCATCACCATCCATCGGTACTCCATAATCGATCTGCTTAATCTTATTCTCACGTGAATAATCCATCTATGCCCTGCCTTCTCCAGAGAATCTGTAGAACCAGGGAGCTAAGAATACACACACAAAGCCCGTAGATATGCTTAATTCTGTTAGTAGCCAGACAAAAAAACCAACTATCCACCCACAGTCCCACGCTCCCCATTTCCAAGTAATGTGCATCCAACAGCTTGTTTGGCCATCCCCACGCATGACAACATCCTCTCAATTACAAATCTCTGCCAATTGAAAGAAACCTCCTGAAACTGCCAGTTCCATCGTTCTTCCCCACACCAAGCTTGGCCCATTGTCCAAGGTATCGGGCTTTGTCCGTTGCTGGCCTTCTCGTCCTGCCCATACTCTCGGGAGGCATCGCGGCCTGGGAATTTGTAGACCTTGTCGATCGTGGAACGGCTGTGGATGCTATGCGAGTGGGAAACATGTACGTGCCGCTGGTGGGATCTGACCTTGAGGGCGCATTCTCTTGTGCCTGGCGTCGTCGAAGGCTTCCCGTAACCTCCTTCATGCTACGAGCGGGCGTCCCCAGTAGTGCGTGCCCCTTGGCGGTGCGCTGTCTCTTCACCTTTCTGCTTGCTTCTTCACTTATATACGCATCGTCACTCGTAATCGAATCCATTGGACGTAGAATACCCCGGCGCTTGATGGTTTCCATAGCAATTTGTTCACAAGATTGATTCTTGTGGGCAGAAGAGACCGATCTCTTTGTAAAGGTACTGGCGAAGCTAGCCACGCTGAGTTTCCTCATGACCGTAGATGCCGAATTGCGAACCAGATTTTCACTTCGAGATTTCATCGTCATTCCGGGAAACGGGAGTACTTCTCTACTCCACACATCTGACAAGAGAGCCTCTAGTCGAGCTCTCTCACCTCTGGGCGGCGCAAGCACCGGTATTCGAGTTGTGGTTGTTAGTAGAGACTGAGAGCGGTTGATGGTCGAAGCCGCAGAGGCATTCCCGTTGTGATCTTTAAGTACATTGGTATTCTTTAAGATGACTTGGCATAGAGGCGATTTGGCTCCTCCCACAGTGGTGGCCCGCTGTATAGATATTCGCCGAACGAGTGTGCCTTGGGTCTCAGTTAGCATATAACAAGCTCATTCATGTTGATGTGGTATTGCGTACCCTGCTTTCCAAAGACAGACCCCAAACTCTTTATATTCATATGTATTGTGCTAAACACATCCGGCCCCTTTACCCCTTGCTCATCGCTCGGTGGCCGTGATAATCTTGTTCTCCATTCCGTTTCCTCCTTGGATGTACAAGCTGTCATGATGATTTCGTATAATTGGTGATCGCATTCAAACACTACCTTCCAAGAAAAAGGCGCGGTGTGGCACTGCAACCCTGGTAGCTGTTAGTTTTCTCGTCGACGGAGCTGACTGCTATTTCGAGTGCTAGGTGGGTGCCTGAAAGGCTCACCTCGTCCATTATCCACTTTTTCGATCCTGAGTCCGTCAATATTGATACAAGCCATGATGGTGTAGATCGGATCAACCTTGCCCGCAGAGGCAAGACAGAGCATATCGCGATAGAGCAGACAAATGAAATATTGACCATCGACCCCTTCATCTGTCTGCCAGCATACGTGAAGTGTTCCGCAAAGCCGAATGTGGCCAAAAGACCGTATTTGTCTTTTAGAAATGGCATCGAATTTCTAGACTGAAAGTCAGCTTCTTTAGACCCTATCATGGACTGTCAATTCGAATGTACTCTATCAGGGAACGCTAGTCGATCCTGTAGTATCCATGTTTTTTCGAGTGTAGACTTGATGTTCTCGTCATTCGATGCCCTGTTGATCTCCGTGGTCGCTTCGCGAAGCCTGGTTAGGGTATTGTCGATTTCCATATGAGAATTTGGACAGTCTGATATTGGAGTGCACTTGAGAAGCTCGGAAAAAATGAGTGGGTATTTACAGATCCTCTGGATGGGCTGGAGTATGTGTTAGCTATTTTCACATGGAGAGTGGCATTGCCCGAAGGAGAACACCTTGACAAGCAGGTCATTTATCGTCAGAGCTTTTTTGGCTCCATCTTCGCTGCCTTTGACGGACCCCAGCGCCATTGCCAAGGCTTCGAGGCCTTTTTGATACGTCTCCCAATCTGGTATGGTTTGCTGGGCTGAAGCGATGTCTTTGATCATCATCTCATATGTTGCTCCGTATTCCTCGTATATGAAGAACCGGCTTATCTAGAAGCAAAGCAGGTCAGTCCAATCACAGTTCCGGAGTATGGGAAGTTGATATGATGTGGCAAGTAGCTACCTTCTTCCCAAAGGCTTTTGAGACTTCTGCCGCTACCTGAGGATCTGACAGCATGCCCGGGGCTTTCAACAGCCACCTTGCTTTCGTATTCTGCTCCGGCACGGCACCGAGACTAGACCATCGTCTGTGAGAATAAGGGTAATCGAAATTCGGTACATGAGACAATGGGGGAGTTGCGTCGGCTTGTGTGTATTCCGAGTGTGGAACTGCTCGGTGCAGTTCGCCGAGGAGTTCCTCGTGTAACTTGACTATTTCTGTCAAATTTTGGTTGATGGATGACCGCAGGCCGACGCATATGGAGGGTAACGCAGCCAAGATTGTGACGTATACCTAGATACCAGTTAACAAGTTGGAAAAAAGATGCACCACAATGCCACGGATTGGTCTCAAATCACATTCATGAGGAATCGTATGTCGCCAATGTACCCTTCCTCCGTACTGATGAGCTCTTCTAGCACTCTTCGTCGCTGCAGTGATCTCTCCATCGCAGCCAAGTTGGCTAGGGATTGATTCTCCCGGAGCCCACTATCTTCAGATGCACGAGGGCCTGAGATGGATGCTCTGCTGCTGCGCTCCGTTGTAGAGAAGCCTTGTGAGCGTGGTGCGTTTCTTCGAGATCGTGCCACAACACTGACGCTGACACTGGCAAGACTGGTACTAGCACTTCGGACCGCCGAAACAAAAGCGAAGGAAGATTCAGAGGACGATTGTCGATGGTGTGTTCTTCTCCAATGAGCTGTACGACTGTGGACATCAGGATCGAATGACGGCCGCAGAGAACCAAAGCTTTCGTCCGACCGTGTGGGTCGATGCTGTGCTCTACGATGAATCGTTCGCATCCATTTATGAAATGGCCCCTGTGATTTGAGCTGCTCATGATTCTCTGGCTCTATCTCGGTCTCGGGGGCACAGCTCTCATTAATGATAAGTTGGGGCACCTCGGCGGTGATATCCATAGTGGTAGTTTCGACAATTGTCTGAAGCTCCGGATCAGTATCTTGGGGGCCGGATGGAATCGTCCCAGTCGCTTCGATATCAAGGTTGGCCATTTTAGTAACCACTTGGGCGTCGTCGGCGTCATATACGGCATCATCACTTGGATACTCGACTGCATCTTCATAGTTTTGCATGAGAGCAGTCCAGCTGGAGCGTCGAGAGCTGGACTTGGAGTCGCTGGGACTCGAAGATGAGTCGACGGGAACCATTTCGAAAGTAAATCAAGAATGAAGCAGAAAGACGGGGCCCAAAAAGGAGATGCAAAATAGACTCCAATACGTCAAGGATGAAAGACAAGTAGGAGAGGAAGACCCAAACATGACGTGGTGCGGAAACTGGGAAAAGAATAATATGGACATAGAAACCATTTGAGCGTGTAAAGAGGAGGAGAAAGTTAGAGACAGAATGGAGGACTTGAAGGGTGCAATAGCGGTAATGGAGGCTCCAGGAACGATCAAATGTGGTTGGCAGGGCATTGGCTCTTTCCAATAACTGAGCATAAACCTGCACCATCGTGGTCACATGCTCAGTAGTCAATAAATGGAAAACACTGTAAAATCAGTGAATAGTGATGTATGAATATTTGATGCCATCACGATATTGAAGAATACACAGCTAATGTAACTGATAATAGTAGCACCGGTGATGCTTGGCATCTGGTAGAAATATACATTACCATTACCTGTATTTAATGGGCTCTTTGAGACTCTTTCAGGCCCTTTGAGTCTTTGGTGACATTGCACATGGAAAAGAACGACATACCTGGATCTGAAGCACGATATCGGCAAAACCTCAAGCTGTTGATCTGAATTCTTCGCTTTGCCACCTCGAATCGGAGCCATGATATGCGGACCGACACGGAGCAAAGTTGTGGAGTTGGGCGGCTTCAGCTGGGCCCTACTGTATGGAGAAAGGGACTTTGTCTGTGGAGATGCAGCACGGCGATTTGACGGCCGGTTTGTCCAGGATTGGTGGACAATCGCGTCTCGTCTCGTAAGTGACGGTGGCTTCTGATCTTAGTAATGGAACAGTTGAATGCGCTGCATGCCAGGCATCTGCCGCGTTTTGCCATCCAAGGGAGAAAGAGCCAAAATAGAACAACATCTACCCGTATCAAGAGTACGAGTTAATTAATATGAATTAATTAATTACAGGTAATCGATTTCATCAATCATGCTTGACATGGCCAGGGCCTTGCCGAGTCCGTAGTGTTGCATAGCCCTCCAGCTTTCTCCGTAGCATCACCTCAACCTAACAATCACAACCCATGCCCTCCAAACACGACAACCAGAGATCGCACTGTGGCACCGCCGCACTTCAGTGGACCGACACCCGCCAAAAGGGCGCCGCCGATGGCCCGCGACCTGCCGCAGCCACTGTGCGATTAACCATCAATTGATCCCAGTCCAACCATGCCAGGGCCGACTCGCCTAGCCGGGCGCTGCAAAACGGCCCTGAAGCTAACCGTACAGGGGCAAGCCCAAGCCCTTTGCGCGAGGCAATGCAAAGTTCCGCCCCTTCGGTCCAAACGAACACGTTGAACTTTTTCAGGCGACGGCGATGAGACCCCCCAACTTTTTTTTTTCCCTTGCTAGCAGACTGGACCGGACCTATAATATAGAGGGTAGCCTTCTCTGCCCGCCACGTGGAGCCTTGCGGAAGCCTTGACAAATCGGCCATGTTGGCATATCGCTGAAGTGGCCCTGCTGATTGTGATTCTCTCTCTTTACCCTGACATCCTCTTCTCTTCTTGCCTTGTCCCGTTACCCTCTGTTGAGTTGACTGCCTCGAGTCTTGCGTATAGCCTCATCTCGAGCGGACGATAGCACGATAAGGATCCAAACCTCGTCGCCCCGCCGCTCTCGGCGCAACCCGCCATCATGGACAACGCCTATGCCCTCCCCATCGACGCGGTCCTCTCCAACTTCAAAGTCGAGGAGCACAACGGCTTGACTGATAGCCAAGTCACGGAACTTCGAAACAAGCACGGCCGCAATGGTGCGCAGTCCCGAGTCCCGGAGCCTCAGAATCACCCCGCCATATCAAGGCTCACGGGCCAGGCCTCGACTTGATATGAATGATGCTAACATGGGCGTAGCGATTCCCGAAGAGCCTCCCACTCCCCTCTGGGAGTTGATTCTCGAACAGTTCAAAGATCAACTAGTCATCATCCTCCTTGGTTCCGCCGCTGTCTCCTTCGTCCTCGCTCTGTTTGAAGATGAGGGCGGCTGGAGTGCGTTCGTCGATCCCGCTGTCGTAAGTGGACATGCTTGGCTTCAACCCGTTCGGCTATGGTCGCTAACTGTGTCTCGTTGTACATGTAGATTCTCACGATCCTCATCCTCAACGCCGTCGTCGGTGTATCCCAAGAAAGCAGTGCCGAGAAGGCCATTGCCGCTCTGCAAGAATACTCTGCCAACGAAGCCAACGTCGTCCGCAACGGTGGCCACGTATCCCGAGTCAAGGCCGACGATCTTGTTCCTGGCGACATTGTTTCCGTTTCTGTCGGAGATCGAATCCCCGCCGACTGCCGTATCGTTTCCATCGAGAGCAACAGCTTTTCGGTTGATCAGGCTATCTTGACTGGAGAGAGCGAGAGCGTTGGTAAAGATTCTACCGCCGTCGTCAACGATGATAAGGCTGTCTTGCAGGATCAGGTGAACATGCTCTTCTCGGGAACCACTGTTGTTACTGGACGCGCAAAGGCCATTGTCGTCCTGACTGGTTCCAACACTGCCATTGGAGATATTCACGAGAGCATCACTGCTCAAATCTCTGAGCCCACTCCCCTGAAGCAGAAACTCAACGACTTTGGTGACAACCTGGCCAAGGTCATTACCGTTATCTGCATCCTCGTCTGGCTGATCAACATTCCAAACTTCAACGACCCCAGCCATGGCAGCTGGGCCAAGGGCGCCATCTACTACCTCAAGATTGCCGTCTCCCTGGGTGTGGCCGCCATTCCCGAGGGTCTTGCGGTTGTCATCACTACTTGTCTCGCTCTGGGTACCCGCAAGATGGCGGCTAAGAATGCTGTTGTGCGTAGCCTGCCGTCTGTCGAAACCCTGGGAAGCTGCAGCGTCATCTGCTCCGATAAGACTGGTACGCTCACCACCAACCAGATGAGCGTTAACAAGGTCGTCTACCTCAACGAAGCCGGGACCGACTTGACCGAACTTACCGTCGAGGGTACAACATATGCCCCCAAGGGTAACATCACCCTCAACGGCCAGGTTGTCGAGAACCTTACTGCCACTTCTTCTACGATTCTCCAGATGGCCGAGGTCGCCGCTCTTTGCAACGACGCACACTTGGCCTATGATTCACGCACTGCTGCCTTCTCCAGTGTTGGCGAGTCGACCGAAGGTGCCCTTCGAGTCCTTGTTGAGAAAATCGGCCCTTGTGCCCCTACCGGAACTGCTCTTGAAGACTGTGGACACTTTGCTAGCGCTGCTCACGAGAAGAGGCTTCCCCGGCTCGCCACTTATGAGTTCTCCCGTGACAGGAAGAGCATGTCGGTTGCTGTTCAGAATGGTTCTGCCAAGAAGCTGCTTGTCAAGGGAGCTCCCGAATCTGTCATTGAGCGCTGCACAAGCGCCGTCGTCGGCGCCAACGGTAACCGAGTCCCCCTGAACGAAAAGCTCCGTAGCACCCTGCTCAAGGAAGTTGTTGAATATGGTAACCGAGGTCTTCGCGTCATTGCCCTGGCTAGCATCGATGATGTTTCCCAAAACCCGTTGTTTGGCCACGCCAAGACTACTGAGCAGTATGCGCAACTGGAACAGAACATGACCTTCCTTGGATTGACTGGCATGCTGGACCCCCCTCGCCCCGAAGTCCCCGCCTCTGTCAAGAAGTGCAAGGATGCTGGTATCCGTATCATTGTCATCACTGGCGACAACCGCAACACCGCTGAGAGCATCTGCAGACAGATTGGCGTCTTTGGCCAGCATGAAGATCTCCAAGGAAAGAGCTACACCGGACGTGAATTCGACAACCTCAGCCCCAGCGAGCAGCTTGAAGCGGCTAAGAAAGCATCACTGTTCTCTCGCGTTGAGCCCGGCCACAAGTCCAAGCTGGTTGACCTCCTCCAGTCTCTCGGTGAAGTTGTTGCCATGACCGGTGACGGTGTCAACGATGCCCCCGCTCTGAAGAAGGCTGATATCGGTGTGGCCATGGGTTCTGGAACGGACGTCTCCAAGCTGGCTGCCGACATGGTTCTGGCCGACAGCAACTTTGCGACCATTGAGGTGGCCATCGAAGAGGGCCGCTCCATCTACAGCAACACCCAACAGTTTATCCGCTACTTGATCTCCTCCAACATTGGCGAGGTTGTTTCCATCTTCTTGACGGCCGCCCTGGGCATGCCCGAGGCACTGATCCCCGTCCAGCTGCTCTGGGTCAACCTCGTCACCGACGGTCTCCCCGCCACGGCACTGTCCTTTAACCCTCCCGACCACGGCATCATGAAGCGCCACCCTCGTAGGAGAGACGAGCCCCTCATTGGTGGATGGCTGTTCCTGCGTTACCTCATCATTGGCACCTACGTCGGTCTTGCAACCGTTGCCGGCTACGCCTGGTGGTTCATGTACAACCCCGAGGGCCCCCAGATCACCTTCCGACAGCTATCCAGCTTCCACCGCTGCTCGACCGAGTTCCCCGAGATTGGATGCGAAATGTTCAGCAATGAAATGTCCAAGTCTGCCTCGACCGTGTCTCTGTCGATCCTGGTTGTGATTGAGATGTTCAACGCCATGAATGCCCTGTCGTCCAGCGAGTCGCTCCTCACCTTGCCGCTGTGGAACAACATGATGCTCGTGTACGCCATCGCCTTGTCCATGGCTCTGCACTTTGCCCTCCTTTACACCCCCGTCCTGCAGAACCTGTTTGCCATTTTGCCGCTGAATGCGCTGGAATGGCAGGCGGTTACAATTATCAGCGCGCCTGTAATGTAAGTTTTGAACGACTCCAATCCTCTCTTTCGTATGTATGGAAAACTAACAAGACATTAGTCTTCTTGACGAAATTCTCAAGGTTGTTGAGAGACAGTTCTTCATGCAGCAGAAGCCGGCTGCCAAGACTATCAAGGCGAAGAAGGAGGAATAGACGAGAGCTTAGAAGAAAACATATACACATTTATACACATACAATGCATACAGGTATATAGACGGAAAGAAAGGCATCACAAACTCGGCTTTATTGTAATTGGATGATTTCAGTGCTGTGCATTGGGATTGTTGCCTCATCCGCCTGTGATAAGTTTTACGGTGACCAAAAGTTGGGAAAAGCCAAGGTATGGCGTGAAAAAAAGACTGTGGCGCAATAACTTGGATGGAACTTTTCTCAGGATTTTTTTTGTTATTCTCTTGTTTCATTTGCTTTCTTTTTGCATGTATTAGTAATTCGACTCGTTGGGTGTTTTCGAGTCAAACTCTCTATTTCATACAGCATACACACGTTCAGTCACCTTGCAGACCGAGGCGTATGTCATATTCCCCCATCTCTATACGTGGCATGCATAATCAACCTTAGTCCTGTCTACCCTTTAGTAACCTCTTGGTGACCTTGTCCTTCTCGATGATGTACACGTGGGCTCCCCAGCCGGATAGGGCGTCACGGTCGACGGCGTTTAGGAGGGCTTGTGAGATGGTCTCGAACAACGCTTCGGGCTCCTAAAGAAGCAAACAGATGTCAGTAATGATTTCTTTGTAAACAAGAGGAGGGCAAAGAGTAATTAAGAAGAGAGCGTACCAAATCAGGCTCCCACAAGCCTTCGCACATGCCAAACAGCTGCTCCGACGCCGTGCCGGAGACGATAAAGTCCTTTGCAAAGTCGATGCAGCCGATGCTGTCGAAGCCGCAGATGAAGGGCTTGCCCGTCTTGGGGTCGAGGCCGGCGACGACGGGAGACACAAAGTACGGGCCGAAGCGGCGCTCGTAGAGGGAGGAGGAGACGAGGTTGGCAAAGGTGCGCGGGGCGATGGCGCGCTCCTCGCGCAGGCGGTACATGTTGACCTTGTAGCGGAAGAGGTCGCTGACGGTGCTGACGTCGGTGGCCAGGCCCGTCAGGCCGAGGAAGACGTCGCCGTACTGGAAGATTTTGGGAAAGTTGTTGGAGATGGTGAGGGCTTGCAGGCCCAGGCGGAGGTCGCAGGCGATGGCGACGCAGTCCTTGCCGACCATGGCGACAGCGGCGCCGCCGTCTGTGGGTTTTGTTAGTTGGGGGAACGGGGTTGGATTGGGATTCGAGCTGGAGATGGGAACTGACTGATCGAAAAGGGAGAAGACTACAATGGAGTAATGTCAGCATGTGCCATCATCGGGATGCCGGTGGTGGTGCTGGCTGGGTTGGGTATACGATACGACATACCATGATGCTTCTGTTCTGTTTGCTTGGCCGAGTAAACCGAGTTCCGAGCTCCAACCAGAGATTGTCACAGCCTGTTTCTCTCTGTATCTCTCTAGAGCCTCGTCCGAATCAATGGCCGTTCGTGAGATGCGCAGGTCGGTTCAGTTCCGTTCAGTTGTTTGGTGTATGAAGCAGTCAGTTCAAGTTGCCAGACAGCTTCCCTCCAAGCTTGCACCAGCCCCAGCTCCCCCCATCACTGGCACGCAAAAGCGGCAGGCAAACATGGTCTGGCGTGGCCGTTTGGCTGCAAGATCGCTGTGGCGCAGGCTGTCCGAGCTTCTGCCGCTGTGGCTGGTGCTTGTTACGTATCTGCGTCGCCTTGGAGGCTGCCTGCGGATTGTTCGAGAAGAGGGTGGGGCTGGATTTGATATCTAATGTGGCTTCTGAGCTTCAGACAGTTTGGAGGGTTAGACGGGCAAGAAATACTAAGTGGAAGAGAGACTTGTAGATATTTTGGATTCCAATCCCTTTGTGCCATTCTCACCTCTTCGATTCATCGGCTGGTGTCACTTGTCACCATATACCTCGCTGCCTGTTTGTGTGCTACTTGAGCTTGTCGCTTTGTTCCTCCAGTTCCAAAGTACTCCGCCGAGCAGCTACCTCACCTTATTATAACCCCACCATAGAACTACAATCCGGCAGAGTTCCGCGACTGCTTCGTAGACTTTCGTGCTTCCACTTAAACCGCTTCTACCCCCGTCTCTTCCTTCGGGGAGCTCGCTCAACTCTCTAACAAAGCAACTCTCTCATATCCAACCTTCATCATGGCGTCGCACGTCGTCGTCATCGCCACGGATCTGAGGCGCACAACCGTCAAAGTCAACCCCGGCACATACCTATCAGACGTTCTCCAGGAAGCTTGCAAGAAGCTCAGCCTGGACAGCGACAAGTTCCTGCTAAAGTGCGTGTCAACTCCAGCAAACTACGAACTTCTCATTGCATCTTCTCCATATCTAACGTGACCGCCCCAGACACAAGCAGAAACAAGTCGACCTCTCTGTGCCCTTCCGAACCTCGGGCCTCATCGCCGGCGCCAAGCTCGAGCTTGTGCTAAAGTCAAAGACTCCCTCCGCTGTGCAAATCGCCCTGCAAATCCCCCAACCCGAAGCCAAAGAAATCCCCGGCGGCCGATTAATCAAAAAGTTCCCCTCCGACTTGTCAATATGGCAGGTGATGCGACAGTTTGAGAGCGGCGAGGCGAGCGCGGGCAAGAACATCAACATCACCGCCAGGGGCGTGGCCCAGACAGTCGCCACCAACAACTCGGGCGCCGGCCAGCTGTACTACGAAACACCGGTTTTGAACATCATGGGGAGGGAGCTCGGGTCGTTTGCCGACTTCCAGAAGACGCTGTCGCAGTTGGGCCACAACTCTGGCAATGTCCTGATACGGCTGACGTTTAGGAGGACTGAACAGACGCTGTACGAGGCGATGGAGCAGATTGGAGTCTTTTTCAAGGAGGAGGCGAAGAAGAAGGAAGAGGAAAAGGAGAGCGCGGCATCAGGCGCTCCAGAGGATACACCAAAGAGCTCATCTGCGGATCAAGATGTGCCCATGGCTGAAGCTCCAGCAGAGCCCGTGAGGAATACGGCTGAAGCCCGAGAAGCAGATCATGCAGCTCCTCAAGCCACACAGGACTCATCCTCACTACAACCCGACGCACATCAGACATTGCCCGAAGTTAACAGTTCGGATCCCCAGTCACGCCTCCAACCAGTCAATGTATTTCTCGCCCCTACGAATTCGACCCCTGCCGCTGCTCTCGTCCCAGCTGAAGACAGCGATTTCACACCGAGCGTCGCTCATGCCCAGCTGCATCAAGCGCGCCTGCTAGAAAGCTCTCGCAACAAGCGGCTCCTATCCGACAGAGAAATCGAGGAAAAAGAGGCCGCCGAGCAAGCCAAGATCGACGCCGTCAAGTCCGTGCTCATCAAGGTGCGGTTCCCAGACAATACCAGCAGCGACTGGGAAATTGGTCCGTCAGACACGGGTGCCTTCTTGTATCAAGCCGTGCGGCACGTCATGGCCAGCAATGAGCATTCCTTCCATCTCGTCATTCCCGGCAGCAAGACGGTGATTAAGGACGACGACACCCCCAAGCACAATCTAATCCGGGCGTATAAGCTCTCGGGCAGGGTGCTTGTCAGTCTAGTGTGGAATGATGGTGTGCCGGCTGACGTTCGAAAACGGCCCTTTCTCAAGTCCAACTTTGCCCAGCAGGGCCAGACAATCAAGGTGCCTGAGATACCGACGGCTGAGGATGATAAAGATGGACCATCGGTGGCACCCAAGGCTCAGCAGGCGCCGACGAATAGAGACGGGGGAGAGGGTTCTGGGAAGAAGATGCCAAAGTGGTTCAAGCTTGGAAAGAAATGATGAATCAATAGCGAGGAGTAGAATTGTTTTAGTTTCCTTTTTTTTCCGCATCCAGAGAAGATGTACGACTGAATAGCATAATGTACCCATATATCACGGGCAATTTTACAACAAAGACGCAAGGACGGAAGTTGCACACTACTCAAGACAGGCAGCACAGGCTCCTTACAACATTAATCAAGGCATTTCGTACCCATGATGCTGGGCGGTTGAGGTTCAGGGAAGAAGAAGAAAATTTTCTAGGTTGGGTCATAAAGACGGCATGTCTTGAAGAGTTTAAGAAATTCGATGAACGAAATCGCAGCTATATAACCGCTGCTGCGCCCGCATCAAAGCCCCATTGAATTCAATCAAAAATTCATGACCACGCCAAAATCCATGCGAAACCCATAAGTGTTTTTAATTCATTTCCCTGATGAATAAAAAAGGTTTTTGTCTTTTTGTTTTTTCCCCATTACCAAGATGAAATCTCCCCACTCGCTTGAAGAAATCGTTTAGTGAGCACGACGAGACTCGGCGATGACGCGCTGGAGCTCATCGACCTTTCTCTTGGCACGGCCGAAGGTACCGAGCTAGAAAGTTGAGCTTTTGGTTAGAATGTGGTGTTTTTTTTTTGGTTATGCCCATTGGAGTTGGGGAGTTTGTTTTGACGTACCCTCTTCTTGGCCAGCTTACGGGCACGCTTGTCCTTGCTGTTTCGGAGCAGTTCGATGACACGACGCTCATAGGGGGCGAGGCTATATAGCAACACACACTCAACGTCAGTATACATCCCTCCAATTATATATCTTTCTTCTTGTTTGATCCCAAGACCAAACAGCGATAAGAGATGGAGAAAAAAAAAACTCACCCAGCGACCTCCTTGACGACCTCACGCACGAAAGCGGTTCGCTTGCTCAGGTGGCCCTTGGTGCGCGAAACACGGGGCTTGACGACACGAGCAGTGGTCTTCTATATTGAGGCAAAACACAAACCAAAAAAAACGTCAGCGTCCATCGTCTGCCGAGATCATGGGGGGGCAGAGATCCTCCACGAGGTGAGATCGCGAGTTTTGACGTACGTGGCCCTTGTTCAGGCCGACGGCCAGACCGGTCTTTGCAGGCGTTTCCTTAGCCATCTTATTCGAATTGTCGACTCGTCGAGAAATTTCGTTGTCGAAGAAGAGGAGGAGTAGAGAGAAAGAGACGTCTCTTTTTTTTTTTCCCCTTCCCACAAGGAAATTCGACAGCGCTAGTGGGCAATTTTTTTTGGCGATGCGTGTGGGTAGGGTCGGTGTGTGTGATTTTCCGGGCGGATGGTTGTGGGTCACGTGCACGAGGGTAAGCGATAAGATAAAGATGGAGCTAGTTTTTTTTTCGGTTTTGATAGAGAGTCACGATGGAGAGATATGATTGGTTAAATTGAGGGCTCCCCTTTTTACTGAATTGGGATAGTAGGAGAATCTAGGAGCCGTGTTATGTAATGGCGAAAACGCAAACTCACTGCTTGAAGCCATGACTGATATCCTCGGTATCAAAGACAAGGACGTAAGGATAGGAAACTACTTTGTGAGGGTTTGTAACTCTTGCTCAACTGAGCAGCAAATTGCAACACACAAACAAATCATTTGATTGGTCACGATGAGCTTGACTCGTCTTATCTCAAGCCTTTGCTCGTGTCCATTAGCCAAAAGCACAATGTCATAGCCATAATTGAGTCTTGCTAACTCGCACATGCGTACTAGAGGAATTCTAGAACAAGGCTTATCTCACAGCACGTTCTTCCTTGACGAGTCATGTAGCGGTTGTGTTGAGAAGCTAAGCTGCAGCCTCACGAACCAGTTGCTAATGTAATAAGATATTTCCGTCGGTTGGCCGGCTGGCAGTACATAGCTAGGATGGTCCAGGGGGGAAGAGAAGATGCAGAGCGCGAATTGCTCGAACTCTGTGTGATAACGGGCAGGGTAATGAGGCCATGTCCGGATCGCCAATCGAAACTCGATCATGCTTGAGCTTGATAACGGCCTGTTCCTTTCCCCGAGGCACAAGTAAGGGGGTCACGAGCCACGGACAAGGCCATACGCAGAAGAGAGAAAGTTGACCCCCCTTGCTCCGCCGTTTTGCGATGCAGGCAGCTCGTACCTGTGCAGTAGTATTATGTACAGCAATCATCATCCGACAGAAGCTCCCCCGCCTCATTCTTTTGAGCTAGTTGTTGGCCGTTCGAGGTGAGAAACAACAGGGCCAACCGGCGGGCGCTAGGGCGGAACTGTGTCGTCTTGCATCCCAAGCGGCGTTTTTTTGGTCGCCATCGTTGCCCATTGGCGCTCCGGCGTATCGTCATCAAAAGCGGCGACAAGGGCGCTTATTCCATGATAATATCCCGTACGGCTGGCTGCTGCTGCCCCGGACTCCATGGCAAAGGGAGGAAAACGAGGTGATTGAATTTTTCCCCTTTATAGGTACCCCGGGGCCAATTGACTTGCTCGGCTCCATCGTGCCCGTATGAAGATGGGCTCACATCCTGGGCCCGTCTCGGAGTCGTCAGATCACGCCCGCTTTGCATCGCAACGACACCTTCTGTGTTTGGAAGTGCCTGACAGCTAGCTGCCAATGCTTCGTCCATGCCATTGGGCGGGTGATTTAAGGTGTGAGGCGCTGTCAAGTCGGCACACGGTGACGTAGTTTTTTTTTTTTTTTTTTTTTTCCTCTTTTGGAGAGACGGGGCCAGGACCGGCTCAGGCGATGGAATTGATGATGTGGCTTTGGG